GTGCTGACTGAATAGCACAATTTTCTGACTGAAAATGGGAAAACATTTCTGGTCCCCAGCTGGTTAATGGAGAAGAGAAGCTTGCCTTGCCACTGCCTGCGTGGTGGCTGCTAAAAAAGGTAAAAGGACTTTCAGCTGAATACCAGGCCAGCTCTGTGTTCATTGTAACTATCTTCTAAAAACAACACTGATGAAAAGGTCAGCTAAAAAAGCTAAATTCCCAACCAAGGTAATTCAGGAACTCTGAGGATAAGAACAAAGCACATTAACACCTTTTTGTGTTAGCAAAGGTCTGTGTTGTGTGCCATTTCCTAACAGCAGCAGTGCCACACTGTTTGGCGGGGAAGGGGGGGGGGACGACTGATATCTCCTCAGGAGGGTATCTAACCAACATTTTTAGAAACAATTTGCATGGTGGGTCTCATGTGGCACCGAGTGCTGGCACTTCAAAGCACTGAGTGCTTCAGCTTTTGCCAGAGCTGACTCACAGGTCAGTCGCTTCTGTCACACACAGAGGCAAGTGGCTTTAATCACTTTAATCACTCTGGCTGTCATTTGGAGGCAGAGAGCTGGCCAAGCTCTACACGCTGCGAGGCTGCACAGCCCGCAAGTGTTATCTGGACACAGACAGGTTTCTGTTCACGGACAGACTGCATGACCGAGACAGGAAGCCCGGACCAGTGCACAGCCAGACTGCGCATCTGAGGAGAAACCTTGCCCAGCCCATCCCACAGCCAAACCCTGCCCAGCCCAGCCCACAGCCAAACCTTGCCCAGCCCAGCCCACAGCCAGGCCGTCTAAAGAAAGAGCTGGCTCGGGGCAATCCAGCTGTGAAGAGGGCAGACAAAGCATGATGGTACACTAGCCCACTCTCTGGCTAAAATACATCTTCTCCAGAGACACAGCCTGAAGCCTATCACATGTAAAACACAGTGAAATAAAGACTGATCCATGAGCTGGCCAACTCCTGCAGGAAGGAGTAAACTGGCTCCATCTTTGGTGAGATATTAACTGTCTATTTACTGTTTTTTTAATGCAATAAAGCACATGAGTTGAAAATGAGAAGTACTGGCTGGCAATACTTTCTTGGCCTTGTTATGCAAGGGTGCTGAGAGCCCCTAGACATATTGCACCACAGCAGAGAGAATCCTTCTCCTTTCTCTGAAATCCAGTTGAGCAAGTGAGAGAGCCTGAAGATTGACTTGAGATAATTCATCCTTTCAGAGTAAGCTGAAAGACTTAAAGACCTTATCCCTCACCCTACAGGTTCACTCCACACAGCCCATCCAAGAAATAGGGCCCCAAAACAAGCCCTCTTTTTTCACTGCAATGTTCAAGACAGTCTAAACATCGCTGTGCACTGTCCACTGCAGAGACCACTCAGATTAATAAATTCTATTCTCTGCAGAGGAAAGCCAATGCTATTTGCTTCCATAAATCCTGCCAAGCACTGAATTCCCACCAGACTCATCAGCCCAAATCCACTGGGGTCAGGTAGCAGCAGCCCTTTGCACTTGGGGACAGGGAAGGCTGCAGCTGTGCCACAAGGCTGTAAAAGGGCAGGGGGAGGCAAGGAAAACTTGGCAGACCTTGTTTGGATGTTTTTTTTCTCTTGGCACCTGAGATACCGCCATGTGTTCCCAGTGGTGGCAGGGGGACTGAGGAACGATCTCCCACTCTCTCTACCAGGTTCACTTTGACTCTCCTGCCACAGGGGCTGTCTGGCTCCAGTAACATGCACCCTTCCTATCATGGCCACATTCAGCAAATACATATATCTAAAGCCAGAACACGAATTTTTTGTTTTCTGAGCAAAATAATAACAATAATAAAGAATTGCTAGCCCTGCTTGCCACATCCTATCTTCTTTCCTTTCTATCCTTTTTTTTCCTCCCCCTGTGGCACTTATTGTTTGTTACTTCCACATGCTCTCTGTGGTATCCCTTCTTTCCTGTGCTAATCCCACCAACCACCTCCTGCCTGTTCCCTGTCATGCCCTGCAGTTCCCCAGTAACACCATTCACACACTTATACCCTACCACCACCCCCACTCATCCCTTTGACTGCATCAAATAGATCAAGTAGAGCTCCCAGGCTCTCCAAGGGCAGGACTGAAAATGGAGAGAAACATGCAGTTTGTGTGCATGCACACACATGTTGGTAGGGACAGAAAAGAGCAATTTATAATGTCTCTCTGTTTTAGCCATAAAAAACTCTTAACAAAATGAGTTTGTTACATCTTGTTTTCCTCATCCCCTTTTCTTTCCTAAGATATTTTTTCTAAACCATTTTTGACCCTTTCTTCCATACTCTTCTCACTCATGCAGAGCAGCTCCTGTCTTTTTCCCTCCAACATGTTCCACTCCTGCCCCTCGCCTGAACAAGTTGTATAATCCTGCATACACAAAGACAACCTTTAGCACAGTCTCTTCTCTCATAACTCACTCCTTTTCTCCCTCTGGTTTTCTCCTCAGCACTCTGCCCTGAAACATCCCTTGTCCTGTACTACACACAAGGCCGCCTGTATGGCTTTATTTGCTGGAGCGGTTGTCACTCCCAAGCTCAACCACCTACCTGAGCTGAATGTCTGCACATCAGGGGTTCAGAGTACCCCTTTTTCTTTTTCTTTTTATTTTTTTTTCCAGGAGAAGGCAGCAGCAGAAGGCTCTGTGTGTCCGGGATCCAGAGGAGAGGTAGGAATCTCTGTCCGTGCTCTGCAGGCAAGAGGAATGATGGAGGAAAAATTATATTGTTCTGCCTGTATAGGACAGCAGATAAATGGTAGGAGAGGGATGTGTGGTGTGTTTTCCTTCCTGAATTCAGCCCAACTGAATGATCCATCCAGCCTTCTACAAGCTGTGGGTGCTGTAAGGGCAGATTGTAGTTGCACAGTAAGTTAATTTGGGTTTCTCAGTGGTATATTGCAGGACATACTTGGTAGGATTGAAGTGGAAAAATGAAAATTCACCATCTTTCAGGCCAAGTTGAATCAAGTTTCAGTGTTACCCCAGTTAAAAACATCTCGTTATACAAATCTTTGTAAGGATACTGAGCAAAAAGTGGTGGCTACAATAAGGTATAGCTCAGTGTTTATTTGGGTAAGTAATGCAATTAAGTGGCCTTCAGTAGAATGGTGTTCAACTAGGAAAACCAAGTCTTGCAGAAGAGAGGGCTCTGACATACAGAGCCTGCAGTGTGCAAGAGATAAGACCTGAGCAAATCATCCTATAGTCTTTGCTGTCTAAACCAGTTTGAGATAGTCCCCGCTTGCTGTAATTAAATGACAAAGTTTCTCTTATGGAAAGCTGGGCCACAAACACCTGCGGTGACACAGAACCAGCCCTTGAGACTGATTTGGCAGTGGGCAGGGACAGCGGGGCTGATGGTGCCACAACCACCCTTTGACCACAGAATTGTTCAGGTTGGAAAAGACCTTTAAGAACAAGCCCGACCACTACCCCAGCACCGCCGCGTGCACCGTTAAACCACGTCCTCAAGTGCCATATCCACGTGGGTTTTTATGAACACTTCCAGGATCTGACGGACTTCCACAGGCAGACAAGGCAGGGGCGACGCCAGGGGACGGCTGCTGCGGGGCACCATGCCATGGGCTATCCCGGGTCACCCGGACCCCGCAGGACGGACCGGCTCCGAGCGGTGGGTGCCGGAGGGTGGGTGGGCAGCGCTTTTGTGCGGGGCTGGCTTCTGGATCCAGCCGCCGGAAGCGCCGGGAGCCGCCGAGAAGGGCCGGGAACCGCCGCCGGGAGCCGCCGGAGCCGCGTCCCGCCAGCGCCCCCCGCAGCCCGACGGGATCCCTGTCCCGATGGACCGGGGGAGCCTCTCCTGCCGCCCCACCGACATGTGGTTGATTGCCAGGGAATTCTGCGGGCCCAGGGCAGCGCTGCGAGGTTCGACGGGACCAACACTTCGGTCACAACAACCCCACGGAGCGCTGCGGGCTGGGGACAGAGCGGCTGGAAAGCAGCCCGGTGGAACAGACCTGGGGGTGCTGGTCCACAGCAGCTGGACACGAGCCAGCGTGTGCCCAGGGGGCCAAGAAGGCCAATGGCATCCTGGCCTGTATCAGGAACACTGTGACCAGCTGGATCAGCTCCCCCTGTACTCGGCACTGGTGAGGCCGCACCTCGAGCGCTGTGTCCAGTTCTGGGCCCCTCACTCCAGGAAAGACACTGAGGTGCTGGAGTGTGTCCAGAGAAGGGCAGTGGAGCTGGGGAAGTGTCTGGAGCACAAGTTCTATAAGAAGTAGCTGAGGGAGCTGGGGAGAATCAGCCTGAAGCAAAGGAGGCTCGGGGATGACCTTATCACTCTCTCCAACTCCCTGAAAGGAGGCTGTGGCCGGGGGGTGTCGGGCTCGTCTCCCAGCAATAAGACGAGAGGACACAGCCTTAAGCTGTGCCAGGGGCGGTTTAGGTTGGACATTAGGAGTAATTTCCTCATGGAAAGGGTGATCAGACATTGGAAGGGGCTGCCCAGGGAGGCGGTGGAGTCACGCTCCCTCGAGGTGTTTACGGACGGACTGGCCGTGGCGCTCAGTGCCATGGTCTGGCTGAGACGGTGGTGTTGGGTCACAGGTCGGACTCGGTGATCTCAGAGGTCTTTTCCCACCTATTCATCCTGTGACCTTGCGATTCTAAACATATTCTCACTGACTGCCGGGTGACTCCCGGTGACTCCGCCCCGCCTCCCTCCCTCACGGGCCGCCGGACGCCGTGTAAGCGCCCTCAGGGTTGTTTACAACATCTGCGCTCATGGACCCGCCCCCTGGGCTTCTCATTGGCCGAAGAGCGCGGACCTCGCGAGTCCATTGGCTGATGGCGGGCGGGCCAACCCCTCACTCCCGGAATTGCCTCTCATTGGTGAAGGCGGGCGGGCAGCGCCGTTCCCATTGGCGGGGAGAGGAGAGGCCCCGCCCCCGCGGCGCGCGGCCGGGGCTGTGCGGGACGCGGCCGCGCGGCCCGTCGAGTCGGTGGCTTGGGACGCTGCGGGGAGCGATGTCCGAGTGCGCGGCTGAGAGGGGGAGGATGGCGGGGCTGCTGCTCCTCTGCGCGGCCTCGGCGCTGCTGCTGGAGGCCGTGGGGGCCATCCCGCCGCCCGAGGAAGGGGCGCGCATGGCTCGCTTCGTCCTTGCACAGCTGCGACTGGGGCGCGCTGGCCACGCTGTCGGCGCAGGAGGGGCTGCGCGGCCACCCCTTCGCCAACATCTTCTCCATCAGCGACGGGCCTCCCGGGCCCTTCGGCGGCAGCGGCGTCCCCTACCTGTACCTGACGGACATGGAGATCTCCGTGCAGGACCTGGAGGTGAGCGGGGCGAGGGGTGTGAACAGCGTGGGCAGTGGCCACCCACGGGGCACCCAGAGGAGCGCCCGGGCTACTGAGGCAGTGTCGACTTTTGCTTGGTTGCCTGCGCTTTTTCATCTCACTGGCAAGCGCTGGTTGGAGTTTCTTTTATTTTTTAAGTTCACATTAGCCTTGCGAAGGCAGCGCGGCAGCACTTGGGTTGACAGAATCCCAGAATCTTAGAGTTGGAAGGGACCTCTGGAGATCATCCTGATGCCTAGGCAGGGTCACCTGGAGCAGGTGACACAGGAACACATCCAGGCTGGTTTGGAATGTCTCCAGAGAGGGAGACTCCACACCTTCCTAGGCAGCTGTTCTAGTGCTCTGCCACTCTCAGCGTAAAGTTGTTCCTTGTGTTCAGGTGAAACTTCTTGTGGTTTGGTTTGTGGCTGTTCCATGGATGCCGTCTCATTTATTATTATCCCTTGAGCAATTATTGTCCCTTGAACAGCTGAGCATGAGCAGTGCTGTCCGTGTTGACACTCAAAAGGCCTCCTGAGAAGTTCCAGCTCATCATGGCCTTGAGAAATGGCAGAAGCAACACCAAACAGAGGAAGTGGCTGGAACTTCCAGAACCAGCGAGCAGAGAAATAAGGCGCCACAGAACATCACCAAAAAAAAAACCAAACATCAAAAGGACTGGAAATTGGCAGAGGGCTCCTACACAGGCTGCTGAAGGAATAGTGATTAAATCTCTGGAGCTTACCGTAAAGGGAAGCACACAAGGAAAGGCAACACTGGCATGCTGTGGCTCTGAGTGTGTGTAATTGGCCTTGTCCCAGATCTCTTGCCTGCCTGTGGCCAAGGGAGTTGACTAAAAACTTAGGGACATAGCAATCGTGTGCCTCCTTTACGAGAAAACTTTTTTGTTCCAGTAGCTGCTGCAGTGTTAGTAAAAGAAACACAAACCACAAAATAATCGAAAATTTCCTATTGACTTTGTTTTATCATAAACCGTTTTTGTTTGTTCCCTGCCAGATTTTACTTTGTTACATTAAAATGCTTTAATTATGTATCTGAGTGCTGTAGAAATTTATCCTGTATAGCATCTCCCCCTCCACCCCAGCTACAGCCTTTTGTTTTCAGACTAACATAAAAACGGCGGTGTGAACTGCTATTGGACGTTTCCCTTCAGAAGGCTCCTCAACAGATCCTTATTTTGCTGTTACAGGGCAGGAACACTTGACGTGTGATAGTCACGTGCAAGGGAGAAGGCGCTGAATAATCATGAGTCAGCTTTTTCTGTAGTTAAGCAACTTCCTATCTGTCAGGTGGTGGCTCCTGTTTCACGAGTTTGCTGGCACTCTGCGTAGTGTTTGAGTGCCTTTTGGGGGTTTCTTTTGGACATGAGCTCTTCTAGTGAAATTTCTCAAAGCAAGTGAACTTTCCTGGCTGGGAGATAATGAACCTTGGATGTGACACTCTGCATTAGGGAGTCCTGTTTTGCACCAATACTTTTCAAGCCACTCTTAGGTTTTAAGAGTGTGTCTAAAATTCACTTTAAATTTCAAAAGAGCTGACTGGCTTAGAGCAGCTTGTTTTGAAGGGAGGAGTTGTTTGATTTTGGTTTAACTAATATTATTAACAGCTGTGAAATTCAGTTGGTTACCTTCTCAGTTACTCTTTGTCCTTCCACCAGAATTAATGAAATTCACTGTATGTCCTTTTTTTCTGTACTGTATGTAGTTATAAGAATATGTCATTATTTGAAGGTGAAATAGCTGGACTGTATATTGAGTTCAGAGTTCTGAGGAGTTCTGTTTTGTGACATTTGCATTTTATGCTAAAAAGCTTCAGCACACTTCAAAACTGGGCATTCTTTCAGATTCAGAGCTCATCTAAGTAGGCTTTCAGATACAGTCAGGAAAAGGTGATGACAGCTTTATTCTTTTTGGCAGTAATACCGAGCTGAAGAAACTACCAAGAGCTGAATAAAGTACCAAGAGCTGAAAATGTGGCAGGGATGACATTTTTCTTGCAAAAAGTATGTAAACCTCTTATCTTATTTCTTGCATTTCAGGTCAATTCAAATGCCTCCCTAACTGTGTCTTTGGCACAGACTCCTTACTGCAGGAGGCACAGATATGATCCCCAGAATCCCCTCTGTGCCCACATAATCTTCGTTGGGAGCATTGTGAAGGTAAGCAGCTGAAAGCTGACACTGGACAAGGTTGTGTGCATCAGGCAGTGTTGTTTAGTGGGAGGAGAAGAGAAAGATTAGAAATTCTGTGCAAAAACATGTGAAGAGATGTTATGTGCTGTGATATCCCAAGGCTGGTTCGTAGTTTGAGGAAAATGAAGTTTGCACTGATATTTGCAGGAGCTTTGTTGGCATGTTTTTAACAAGGAATTTGAGGGGACAACACTAGGAAGTCTCCCTCCTTCCCCTAGACGTGTTCTGAAACTAAGAAGTCTAAGACAACTCACTTGGAAAAGCCTTCATGCTTCATTCACACCTCTCATGCTCAGCTGAATTCTTTGGTCCATGCGTTGTGACAAACATAGTTCTGAAACTTTGTTGAAGTAAATATTGACCTGAGCAATGAGGTTACAATATTAAAGTTACAATATTAGAGCAATAAAGTTACAACAATAAAGTAACAGTATTAGAGACAAAGAAAGTGCAGTGTATATCTGGTGGCATTGCTGCCAGGGCAGTATTCTTCCATGTACCAGTACTTTGGTATCTTATGGAAGGAATTTAGAACTGCATGTGTTATTCATTGAAGATTTTAATCCTGTCATTGAGGACAATGATTGAGGATGAGAAACAGTCATCATTGGATGACTTAGATCTTAGATAATAGTCTAAATGTTAGTGTTTTCACACCTCTGTGTTTGCACATTGCACTCAGCAATCTTTCAGTTGCTTTCCTGAGTTTCTCATTGACAATAGAGTTGGGTTATTTTAGTTAATTCTTCTCATACCATACTCGGAGCTCCAACTTGTTAATTTAACTCTTTAAATGTTTGCATGTTGCACACTGTATGTTAAGTGCTGTCACACTTTTCAGCTTCCCTTCTCTGTAGGTTCTGCTGTACCATCCTATTTGTGTGTGTGTGTGTTTGCAAAGGACTGAACACAGTTGAGATCTGTGTCAGTTTGAATGAGCATGTGCAGAGGAGATAAAATTACACATAAAACATCACTTTGTAATAACTCAGCAAGAATCCATACTCCTCTGTTTTGTGTTTTGTTGCAAGACTTATTCTTATGTTGATGAAGTACTTTCTTGCTCATGCTATTTTTAAAAGCACCCTTTTGATTTAATGTTAAAATCAACTGCCTTGGAACTTTTGTCTGTCTCACATACACCACACTGAAGATGAGTGGACTCTGCCACAGTCCCCTGTGACAGGGCATGGCAGAACTGAAAAGAGCACACTGCAGTCAGCAGTGTGTTTTTTAAACTAAAATCTGTCTTTACGTGACTACCTTACTGTAATACTTTGCTATTTTTTTTTGTTTAGGTGAATGATTCAGAAGCAGTCTTGGCAAAAAAAGCATTATTCAGTCGCCACCCTGAGATGGAAAGTTGGCCTAAGGATCATGATTGGTTCTTTGCCAAATTCAACATCACCAATATCTGGGTCCTCGACTACTTTGGTGGATTGAAAATTGTGACACCAGAAGAATATTACAGTGTCAAACCTTAGTAAGTCCTGGAGTTTTTCATGCCTAACCCTCGCTGTATTTGAAACCTGTACAACTTCTCCTGATTGTTAACAGTATGTACTATATATACTACCTGTCTCTGGTTTTTATATGCATTTATGTCTTTTCTCTAAGTGGTCTACTGGATGCAGTGTCTGAAGTCATAAGGTATGTTTGAATAGGGGATCCAACTGTGTGACAGTATCAAATATAGTATCTATAGAACTGTACATGATTAACTGCACCTCAACTTAAGTAGTTTCTTGGGAGGAGGGACTCCTGTAGTGGGCACAGTCACTGTCCTCTGAATTAATTGCAAGACAGATGATGTTTTGGTGTAATAATTAAAAGCAGCGGGACTATTCAGCATTTATGAAGCTGTATTAATGGGATGCAGCAATATTGCTAATATATCTCAGAACAAAATTGCTGTTGAATCTATCGTTATGATATTAAAGTATAGAGAAATTGTGTTCTTTTGTCTACATAAAAGTCTTGAAAACTTTCAAATGTATTTTAGCTCAGTCAGCAATTATGCAATCGTTTCACTCTTATTCTTACTCCTTGTAGGTGGGAGAAGATCCGTGTGATGCTGATGTGGAAATGAATTTACTTCGACTGTTTCATGAAAGATTTATTTTTCCTGTGTATTGTAGAGCTGAATTAATAACACAGTAAATCAAAGACCTCACATTGTTAATGAGCATGTATTACCCTTATAAGGCAGATTTAACTTCTCACTAACTCGAATCATGTCGTGCTCAAAAACCTTTGTGCATGAGCCAAAACTAAATTTTATTCATTGGATGTGATTTTGGTAAGGTGGCTGACAGTCTGCATTCAGAAGTGTTGTGTTTACTGGAATCCAAAGGATTAGTCCAGTTCTAAAGCTTTCAACGCCTTAGTTGAATAACATGTTTGTGAGCACTCTCCAATTCTGTTTTATTTTTAATAACCAGTTTAGTTTAGAATTTTATGGCAAAGACCCACAGGATGGCTCAGCTGACTCAGCTCAGTGGAATGGAAAGCACTGCTTGTGTTACAAGGGTAAATGATGTGCTGAGTTCCCAAATCCTGTTAAGAATTTCCTTTGCACACTGATACACTTGCTCGTTTGAGTCGTTTTTTTATTTTGCTACCTATGCTGAATGTGCTGTAGGATACAGTTGTATTTATGCAAACTGCACATGTACCTCAGGATAAGTTCTTGGTACCTCTTCAGTGGTTACATGCCCTGACCCTTTAATAGAAGCAGGTTGATAATACCTCAAGTATCTGACTTGAGTATAAGAAGAGTAGTGGCTTGTAAATTCAGTGACACTCTTGTAAAGGATAAATGTTTTCTGATTAGGATTCTGAAATCTTCAGCTTTAGCAAGGTGTCAGTTTTTATTTCCCTCAAAAGTAGAACTGAGAAGATTTTTGGGTTTGGAAGCCTTACACATCACTTCTGGGTTAGTAACCCAGAAGTGAAAAATAGGCAATACAGTATGACACACATGATTCATGATTTGTAGAGAATGAAAATTAATGAAAGGTGTGCATAGTTATTTCTGTGTTAAAATAACTTGCACACAACCACAAAAAACCCCCAAATTAACACCTTTTTACATTCTTTCTCATCTGCTGTGTGCTAAGTTCACAAACACTAAAAACTATTCATGAACAACTAAGTTGGTTTTACAATGAGCAAATATTACCTAGTTGACCTAGAATGTGAGAATTTAGACTCCTTAAAGGCAGATTCTTATATAGAACAGTGGGATTTCTCATATAAAATCCCTACATCTTAATGTTGTTGTTATATCACTCCTTTTCTCAAATACTGGAATGATTTGTGAAAATATTTGTTAGGTGACTTATTAAGTTTTCCTTCTCCAGAAGGGGAGGGAAGGTACTTTTTACTGTTCTTCTATTTTAAAACTAATTTAGGATAAAAAAAACTTACAATATGGAAACAATTTATGTTGAACAGGTAACACTGATATTTAATATGAAATTGAAAAGTATTTTTATATAAGGCATGACAGTTGTGGAAACTCATATGAATCTTTGTCATGGACTTAATCTTTACTGTGAGAACACCTGAATGCATTACATGTCACCCTGTAACTTCTCATGTGTGAGACTGATGATGCTGAGCTTTTGTTAAAATTAAAATATTTTTTGACAAGCGGTGTCAAGTGTTATTTATTGCACGTTTGAGAACTCTTCTCTCCCTCCTACTCTCTTTCACACAGGCACTCTCTCTTCAACATTTGTGTTTTATTGTTTCTCTGGAGTCTTTCATGCTTGCAAGGATAAGAGGGGAAAACATCCCTATTTACACGTGGCTTTCCACTCCGTGGATGAAACACTCTTTGTGTTTCACTTTCTTTCCTGCATCCAGTACTGTGAAATGGAACATAATAACAGTGGAGTTTGTGAAGGTGAATATAAGGAAGCCGTATTTGATTATGCTTTTCAGCCAGAGCTTCTGCATTTTGACATGAAATCTGTGTCATTAGCAGGCAGGTTTTCAGCCATCCCCAGGAAAGCAGGGCTCCATCACATCTTAACAATTAATTGGAAAGACAAATGCCATAATTCTCGACATTCCTTCTTCCTCCAGCAGCTTTCATTGCTGAGCATGACATCCTATGGCCTGGGATGTTCCTCTGGTCAGTTGGGGTCAGCTGTTCCAGGCGTGTCCCTTCCCAACTGTTCCTGCACCCCCAGACTCCTCGCTGGTAGGGCAGGACATAATTCATAACAAACATTTGTGTGTTATCAGGGCTGTTTAAAGCACAAATTCAAAACATAGCCATAAACAAGCTGCTGTGAAAAAAAACCCCCAAAACTCTCAATTCCAGCCAAAAGCAGTACACCACCTTCAAAAGTACCACTTCCATAAGGCTTGCTCTGTGTCTGGTTGTTTTGTTGCACTAGTACCAATTCCCAAGTCCTTTCTGATTGTGAGTGGAAGGACTTTATTCAGTAACAATCTTAGGCTGGTTTTGTTATATTGGATTTTTTTGGAACAATTTTAGATCATCCAAATCTCTTCACATTTGAAATTTGAAAGGACCTCAACCAGATGGGGTTTTTTTTGGATAGTGGTGAACAACAGAATGGTTAAGATAGATCAAAATCTCAAATCCAGGTCTGTACATCTGAGAAGCACTACCTGAAATTGTGTCTGTGCATCTCATTGAACATTTTTTGTATGTTTTTGTATGTAGAAGTGGAATGTAAAGGAGATGAGGGTATCAATCTCCCCTAGTGATAGGTATGTAAATGTTAATATCACTGACTCAAGAAAGTCACCAACTTGTCCTGTTTTTTCCTTGCCTCTTCTCCCTGTGTGCACCTTTGTTCTATTTGGCTCATTCAGGAACTTGCTTGTGAGCATGTTTCCTTTTTTCCTCATATCCAGAAGCAATATTGTGGCTTAGAAGAGGCCGAGGATAAGAAATTGATACAACTGCAAGCAACGGATCAGTGTTTCAACCTCTGACTGTGTCCTCTGCCATGGCATGGTGGAACTGTCTGGGCATATTCTCGACAGCAATGAAATCAGCCACCATATCCAGGGAGAGAAGTACCTGCCTTCATAGATAGGAATCTGAGTCACGGGATAATTTAGGCACCTCACTAATTCACAGGATGTCTGTTAGCTGGGAATCTAATAAGGGTAATCACAGCCTGTCTCTCTAATGATACAGTCATGTTCTTCCTTCTACTTCCTACTGCATGTTCTTCCATCTTTGTGTTTCTTCTTGGCATTCAATTCTTGATTTTCAATTTCTCTTTTACATTTTAATGCAAGAGTTGTGCCCAGGAGGTTCTCGCAACGCGCTACATCATTACAAACTAGAACTTAAATATATCAGGCATTTGTTTAATCCTTTAGTCAGTTCTCTCTGGAATTAATTTCTTAGCTATTTAGTGATCTTCACAATAAAATAGAGGTAGCTCAGAGTATTAGATTAATTTGTTTTCAAAAGGCTTTTCCTGAGTAAAACTATTGAATCTAGATTAAAAATCCAGTAAACTGGTATATTATTGTTGAACACAAGAGGGTGCCATAGACTCACGTTCGACTTGAATGTTAAATGTTTAATACTTAAAAGTGGTTATTGAATTCATCATAACTCAAAGATGCTGGAAAAGCAAACGACGGGGGTATAATACGAGCAAATTCTTTTTCTACAGTGCTTTACATTATGAATGCTTCCCTCCATAAACACAGCAGCCTGCTAGCTGGGAAAAAAAAAAAAAAAGGAAGCATTCATCATTTTTTTGTGTTTTGTAATCATTTTGTGCTGTGGAGAGCCAGAAGTAATATCCATGAAAATGATTTAAAGGGTTTTAAATTAAGAAACTCCAGTAAAGGAAATGGAGACAGGTATAGAATGCCTCGGAACATCAGCTGGGAGCTGCCACCTCCAGACTCTGCAGTGTTTATTTCTGCCAGTATAAGAATCCAAAGAGAGAGTGTTCATTAGTGTGGCAGTGCTTTGGCTTAGGCTTATTGTTAGCTGGATTAAACCACTTGACTCTGGTTTGTAATTTCCAGCAGTTAATTAATCTTGCATTCTTTCAGTGCCCCTGGTCCCTCTCCAGTGACTTGGGCTGCCTGTGCAGGTGTTTGGGTGGTGAGGTAGAGCTGGGAAAGGCCTGGAGCTTCCCCTCTTTGCCTGGGGCCTGTGCCAGAGCTCCCAGTGTGGGGTTTTGTATCTCGGTGTTAAGGCCCCTGCCCTGCCATCCCTTCCAGCTCCTCTGCTCCGGTAGAGCAGTTGGTCCTTGGTGCTCCCCAATAGTTGTATTTTGCCTGCTGGGAAGCTCAGTCCATGAGCCTCTCAAGCAAGACTCGTGGAGTTGCTCCCAGGGCTTTTTGACTCAAGAACGTTTGTGTATAGAGGCTTCCTCTGGGTTTCTGAGTTGAATTACTGTGTTAGAAGATTAGACTGTGAGACTGTTTGTTCTGGGTATAGTGGTTAATGTTCTTCATAGCCTGGTTT